TAACATGATTTTTTTATTTTTTTATATAATGATAAAATATACAATAAGAGATAACTCTTTCATTTTCAAACCCCTACACACCCACGTAACATGATATTACCATCTAGAAGTAGTCAAACAGGTAAATAATTGTGTGAACTTCTAAGTTCACTTATTGCCAAACCCTATAACAGCAAACATAACATATGATTTAAATGGAACACGACTTTCACTCTTGATACTCCACCATATTCCTGCCGCTATTGTCTAGAGAGGAGATTTCCCATACTTAATGCTGATGATAGTAAGCGAGAACTGAATATACACTTTGCAGCACAGTAAGTAGAAGCAAGATAACCGCAGCAATGATGGAAATTAACGCCCACGGAGTGTTAACGTAATTGTGCCTAAAGTTTGCCATCCACCGGTTCCTCCTTTTTCTGCAATGTTCGTTTACTTCGATAAATATCTTGGCATAGAAGAAGTTCCCTTCAAAAATCAAAACAGAGTCGCCGAGTCTGTTAAACATGGTGGCAACGACTTCATGATCACCCAACCAATTATCAAGAACTCCACAGCGATAAAGTAATCCAACGTCCTTTCCTGTGTTGATGAGGCAATCCATGAATGTAATATAATCCGTGAAGGGTGTTGAGGAAATGCCCTCCTTGCACTGTTCATAAGCAACGAAATTTCGAAAGAGGGATTCTGTATCATCATCGACTTGTAGGGTTGGAATTGACATCACCCCCTTTTGAAACTCTATATCAAACAAGTTCCCCTCTTTTTTCTGGAACTTGACTCTGGCCTCATTGAGCTCAGTTGCAGAACGAATGAAATCCCATTCCCGGCGTTTAAACCCTGAATCTTCGGATGCCGATGCTGAATCTTCGGGTGCCGATGCTGAATCTTCGGGTGCCGATGCTGATGCTAAACATGGAATTACCCATTTCAGCAAGGACTGCGCTAAAGAGCGCCACCACCATGGAGAACTTGCTGCTGCTGAACTAGGTACCCCTCCAGGTATACGAATTACATGATCATGGAGCAAGCCGAGCATATGCTTGGCGTCCAGATTCTCGGTACGTACTATACTTTGAGCTGGTGGCTGCATTCCTTCTTGACTCCCGGCAGGTTCTTGAGATGGAAGTCCTGGCACGATTCCATCGAAGCCATCAATTACACCTTGGACAGTGGCCTGATTCGGCTGATTCATAGACATGGAATGTAGCTTGGAGAGTACAGAGAAAGGAAGCTGATTTTCAACTAGCAGCAGATCGCGCAATACATTAGTCTGATTAATATTTGCAAGCGCATTTGTACGGGGGAAAATAAGCTCAATGATAAAGAATCCATCAAGAAGCATCATTTCTACCAGTTCTTCCCCACTAATATCCAGATTTTCTGAATAAAACCCGCGAATTATTTCTTTTATTTCTTCCAAGGCCCTCACATATCTCTCCACACTATTTTCTCCTGTGTGGTCAAGAATCGATTTTAGACTCTTCATTTTCTGCACCTCCATCGCCTTCAGGTGCTTTTTACCATGGTGGTAAGGGCCAATGGAGATCACTAGAGGTTCATAGGCCTTTTCATTTATCTCGCGTAAAGGATAAGGCACTTTGAAAATCATATGGCTTGAACTGTTCATTAAAGCAGGATCTCGGAGCTTTCGATTTATTCCATCGTGAAGAGCTTCTTCTGTTCCATCTGCCATTACTACTCGAAAAAAAAAAAGGAAAAAAAGAAAGAACGATCACTGAAAACTTCTACTCATTTGTCCAAATGGAAAAAGAAAAATAAATTGAACCAGTTAGGTCCAGCCTGGTTTGGGAGAAGGTAGGTCTCAGGAACCATCCAATTGCCACGTAGTATTTGGTATTAGCATGTGTTTAGCGTGGACTTCTAAAAATAACACTTCTTTATTGCATAGAGAAGAAGCTAAGGCAACATCTCTAAAGGGAAAAAAAAAATGAACAAGGCTAAGGCAAATAGCTTTTTCTAATGAGTTCTAAGGTTTTTTTTAGATGCTTGTTAATTTGTCCAATGGAAAAAGAAAAGTAAAGTGAACCGGTTAGGTCCAGCCGGTTAAGGAGATCGTCATGTAGTGTTTGGTAGATTAAATGTGAATGGTAACTTTAAAATTTTATATAATTTTTATCCTTTAATATACATATATTTTTTATCTTTAACTATGAAATATACTTTTTTTTTAATCCTTTTGTCGATAAATTTGTTAAATTTTTCTAGATGTACATATTTTATCTTTTAACTTTAAATTGAAAGATGAAAAAATATATATATTA